TGAGCTCAATGGATTCCAACTCTTCTGCAAATGTGGCTTTTGTTCGTCCTGCAACATTTTTCCTTAATGGATTTTCAAATTTTCCACATGCAAAATACTACTATTTGTTCTTGTCATTGGTGTATGCTGTGACTGTTTTGGGGAATTCATTTATCATGTGTATTATTTATTTGTCCCGCAGACTTCACACAGCCAAATATATTGCTGTTTTTCATTTGGCTCTTTGTGATCTGTGTGGAAGCTCAGCTGTGATTCCAAAAGTCGTTGATACATTTTTATTTGACCACCAGGACATTTCATATGCAGCATGCATGGCTAATATATTTTTTGTTTTTCATTTTATGAATGTGCAGTCTTTGACACTACTTGTCATGGCTTATGACAGACTGGTCGCCATTTGTTTTCCTTTAAGATATCATGCCATTGTAACCAAAACATCCATGCTGCTGATATTAGGAGTGATATGGACATTTTCTCTAATATTTTTTTCTGTGTTTGTAGATTCTATAAATAGACTCTCTTTTTGCAGAACTAACGTGATTAATAATTATTTCTGTGATTATTGTACTGTCTACAGGCTAGCTTGTAATGATAATTCTATAAATATTTTGATGGGAAAACTTGGGAATAATCTCCTTGTTTTTACGCCACTGATATTAGTCTTCATTTCATATTTCTGCATTTCTCTGGCTTTGTTTAAAATTGCTCATGCTGTTGACCGGACCAAAGCCATAAAAACATGCACCACACATCTTATGTTAGTGGCAATTTTTTATATTCCAATTTTAAGCAATAATATTGCAGCTTTAACAACACCGTTCACTTCAGACATTCAGATAATAAACAATTCCCTGACACAGACAATACCACCTATGCTGAATCCCATCTTATACACTCTAAAGACAGACGAGGTTATGCAATCTGTAAAAGAACTGTACAAACGCAGTAGAATGAACACAATTAGAGTAAGTAAAACTAAATGCTGAAGGAGAAATAAAAACGTTTACCAGTTTAATATACTTGCTTATTAACAATGATTTTTTAACAGATACCTAATTGGTTTTGCCAATTTAGTTTTATACCTCTGAGCTAAAACCCATAGTAGCTATTCTTTAATTGCATGCTTTGCTCAAAATATGCGCAAATAATTTGTGGCACCACATTAAAGCTAATTTTCTGTTAAAAATAAATCAACAGAGAACATTTTTCATAAAATTTGCTTTCAATTTGAGATGTTTTAGAAACGCTTCTGCAGCATGTTTGTTATAATCATGAACCATGTTTTTAAATTGTTCTGTATTGCTAATTAGTTGACCAACAGAGAGTTTGTGAATTGAATAGTGACTTTCATTACAAGTGATCAATGAACCTTTCAATCACCAAAAGTAATAAAATCACTGCACAACAGCATAACGCCAGCACATGGTACACAATGCTATATGAAAGCTATTGCATAGATAAACCCACCCAGAGTATAACACAATGGTATTCTAACATTAATAAATATGTATATGTAAAATAAAAGACACAGGGCACATCTTATTCACCTACGTATGTATATATGAGAAATTAAAAACAATTCACCAAAAAAAAAAAGGTTAACTTTTGTTGTTTACTCAGATTTGTATTATCTAAGGAAATAAGGTATTTTGAAAGTCAATACGGTCTAAACAACATTTTGTCCAAATGACAGCAACATCACTGATTTGTCTGCATACGCAAGTAAGCTAGATTTGGAATTATTTGAGCCCAAAGTGAAGAGAAACAGTTGGAGGTCTTAAACCGGCAGGATAAAAAGCTTGGGTGGCACAGACGGGGCAAGGAATTGGATTGAGACTGGCAGGGCAAAAAGCTTGGACAGCTGACATTAAGCCACATACAGTTGCTGGAGCAATTACTGGCAGGTGTGCTGGGGCTGGAGCCAACACTGAACCGGGCCAGCAATGCCATCTGGCTCTACATGAACTGGATCTGGGCCTGAGTCAACCATGCCCTTTAGGGCTGCAGAAACTGGATTGAGGCCTGAGTCAACAATGTCCCCCCAGGGAGGCAAAAACTGAATTGTAGCCTGACACAAAAATCCCCTCTGGGGCTGGAGAAACTGAATTATGGGTTCCAGCAGGAGGAGGAGAAATTCTGGGAACTGGAAGGGGTCTATGGCAACATGGTAGCAAAACAAACACTACAAACAAAACACAGGGGTTAACAAAAATGGAAAGCAAACAGATAAACAGATCAAGGAGTTGCTGTGTCGGTCAGGTCTTGTGTCACAATATAGCTGAAGTAATGAGAAGAGTTTGTAGGAAAGTCAAAGCATTGTTTAGCAATGTGGACACCTCCAAATGGTGTTGAACGAGTCACATAATGTATTTATAAGATATAATTCACCCCAAAAATGTCATTTCTGTCTTCATGTAATGTATTTGTGACCGCAAAATTACACGTGACGTGAGCTGACGGTCAGCTGTTACCACAGAGAGGGCGGACGCACGTGCACCTCTGAATAATGTTTTCTTCAGTGACCAGAACAGGCATAGGCTGTTAATAACAGCTAATAAAGTTTTTAATAACATCCAGTTTGTGGCACAGAGTGATTGTTTGAGAGCCGCGCGGGAAGAGAACCGTTCTTAGCAGTGAAAATGAAACCGAAAGCGTACACAGTGTTGCCAGATGTAGTTGACTGATTTCAGCCCAAAAAGTATCCAAAACCTTCCGAAATGCAAAAATACCCGCCCAGTCATCTGTATTCACGAAAATCACGCCAGTGATAGATTTTAAGCAGAAAATGACAGATTGTAAGCATACGTTACAAACACAATAATTCAACATCAGAATTATCATTAGCATGAATTACTACGACAAATGTAAAGTCTGTTCAAGTCCACCATTCCAATACAAAATTTAGCATTTTAACCAACAGTACAGCTACACAAAGCCTATTGCTGTTTTACCACATGTTTGAGAATAACAATAATAATAGCCCACTCATATTAACCTTTATTTTACATCTACAGAATTGTGAGAAAATCGTGATTTTTATTTTAGGCAAAAAAAAAAAAAAAAAAGTGATTTTCATTGTTGCCAGAATCGTGCAGCTCTAAAGGTGGAAAAGTGAATGAGGGTACAATAGGGGTGATTTCAAATACAGAAGACAATTTTATTTGCCCAATTCACCAATAGACCCTTTTCTTAGACCGCAAAATTACCCATTATGCTTTGTGTGTATGTGCAAGGAGAATGCTTCAAACTTCTGTTCGGCAACTGATTTGTATAAAGAGTCACATTCGGACAGCTTTGAAACGATAGTTTTAATCGATTTTGTTTGCTTTTAACACCTTTAAACGAATACTGCAGTCAATCAACACCACTTCTGAACTGATTATTTTAAAAATGCGATCTAATGTGTTGGAAAACAACTGATCCAAGGCATTTTTCCCTTGTTGTCAGACGGCATCTTGTGCTATTAAAATGAAGCCTAGTCATCGCTAAAGTCAGCAATTTCTCTCTTTCAAATAAATAATCAACCCAAACAAATGTAATTCTCCAAAATGCTTGAGACACAAACATAGCTCGTACTGTACTAACAAAATGATTAAACAAGTGTCATAAAATAAAGTGAAAATAAAGTGCCATTTTAAAATAACAAAAAAAACATATACCATGGTAAATACTACACAACACAAACTAACTAGTAGAAACATGCTCCCGATTAGAAAAGCTGCTGAGTACAGTAAAACAGCTCACAGGCCGGAAACACTGACGCTATACTTCAGCATCTGATCTGATGGCAGACACCAAATTAGAAAAGCACTTTTCTCTCACACTTGAACTGCATCTGACAGAAGTATAACGGTTTTAACACGCATCTATCTTTCAAAATTCAAGTTTTGCATCACAAAAAAACTCTGTTAGCCACTGAAAACAGTATTGACACCCAGTTGGGAAACGCTGCTCTGGCTGATAACATTTCTTAATGGAAGTTCTAAACAACCAGAAGGCACTGGTCACTATGGCGCCCTCCATGCAGCAACGAAGAAAAAAGTTTATACTGAATGTCTTTGAACTGTGGCAAAAACTAGAGAACCAAGAGGAAACCCACAGGAACACAGGGAGAACATGCAAACTACACACAGAAATGCCAACTGAACAGAGACCTTCTTGCTGTAAGGCGACAGCGCTAACCACCTAAATATTTGTACATCTGTATTTGTACCTAAACATATTTTATGTTAAATCACTTAAATAAGTCTAATAGAAATACTCTTTTCAGTCTAACACATTTTGAAAAAAGTCCAGATAGGCAAACTTATTGTTGTACAGGGGTAAGCAATTTTGGTTATAACATTGCTTACTATGATATAACAGCTTTGAGGTAAAGAGGAACTGGTAGGAGAAAATATAATTTCTATCATCATTTACTCGCCATCTTATTATTCCAAACTACAATTCCCCAAGTTTCAACATAAATAAAAATATTTGTAATGCAATATGTGATGTTCTAGTCCTTATGTTAAAGTCTGAACACTGATCAACAAGCAAATAGAAGCTCAAAGTTCATATGAAGATAAATTTTGATTCTAAATTACTACCGTAACAATAATAAATGAACTTAATAAGTTCCTATGCCACTACAGTGCAAAATTTTAGTGATACAAACATATAAAAATATATTAATACAAATAATAAATACCACAATCTCTCCAAAATACTGACATATAATTGCTGCTGTGGTTGTTTTGAGTGGTGCATGAAGCCATGATGATTGAAAATTTACAGTGTGGGATGTTGTGGACAGCAATATTGTCATACAAACATTCTTCAATTAATAAAACATTTTTAGCTCTATTTTATTATTAAGTCTTTAATTTTATCATGGTTTACACATTCATCTTTTTAAAAATCTTTTATCTTCATTTCAACATAAGCTTACTCCCGCCCCCATTTACAGAAGTCTACAGGGATCAACGAACAAAAGTCCAAAGCACAACAGAACGATCAGGTATAAATATGTCTGCTAGCTGGTAGAATAAATCCATTCTGTCAGCATTGGAGAAGGTACAGTATGAACCATAGTATGAGTCTTTGATTCTGTATACTAATTTTGCTGCAGCAATGCAATAACTTTGATATTATTTCAATGTCAAACATCTGTTTATTCACTTTTGCTTATTTACTGTGGATGTAAAGTGAATCACTATATGAGTTTGCTTCTAAGTTTATTTCTTAAACAGGTCTTCATTACAGGTGACACAAAGATCCAGACAGCAGGTGTCATGAGCTCCATGCAGTCAAACTCTTCTGCAAATGTGACCTTTGTTCGTCCTGCAACATTTTTTCTCAGTGGCCTTTCTAATGTTCCACATGCAAAATACTACTATGTGTTCTTGTCTTTAGTGTATGTTGTGACTGTTTTGGGGAATTCATTCATCATGTATATCATTTATTTGGCCCGCAGACTTCACACAGCCAAATACATTGCTGTTTTCCATCTGGCCTTTTCTGATCTGTGTGGAAGCTCGGCTTTGATTCCAAAAGTCATTGACACATTTTTGTTTGATCACCAGGACATTTCATATGAAGCATGCATGGCCAATATGTTTTTTGTGCTTCATTTCATGAATATGCAGTCTTTAACATTACTTGCTTTGGCTTATGACAGACTTATTGCTATTTGTTTTCCTCTACGATATCATGCCATTATAAACAAATCAGCAATGTTTCTGATCATCGGAGTGATGTGGATTTTTTCTGCTACATTTTTTTCAGTAGTAGTTGGTTCGGTCAGCAGAATCTCTTTTTGTATATCTAATGTAATTGATACATACTACTGTGATTTTGCCCCGGTCTTTAGACTAGCTTGTAATGATAATTCTATGCCTATTTTGATGGGAAAATTGTGCTTTGGCATTCTGATTTGCATGCCTCCAATACTCATATTTGTCTCATATTTCTGCATTTCTCTGGCTCTTCTTAAGATTGCTCGTGGTGTTGACAGAAACAAAGCCATCAAAACATGCACCTCACATCTCATGTTGGTGGCAATTTTTTACCTCCCAATTTTAAGCAATAATATTGCATATGCAACCACATACATAAATCCAAATGCCCGGTTAATTAATAATTCTCTGACCCAGACAATACCACCCATGCTGAATCCCATCATATACACTCTGAAGACAGACGAGGTCATGCAGTCCATTAAAGAACTATACAAACGCAGCAGGGTTTATGCTACTATGGAACAAAATAGGAAATGCCATGGAAGAAAATTAAATGATTTCAAGGTATTTGGAGCATTGGATTTCAAATGTTAGCTGTCTTCCATTATCTGATTTATCCCCTCTTTCTTTTTGTATATGTAAATCTGTTATAATTTATATAGCCTTTTATGAACGTTTTACAAATTAACCAGAATATTTTCACATGTCAAGGTGAAAAACAGTTTTGTGAAGAAGCTTTTTCTCTGACCTGTGATTTAACTGAAACACAATTTTTGTATGTTATGGGATATATATATATACGCGACACATTTAAGTTTGTTTGTGTACAATTGATATTTTTATGAACCCCTGTTGTTGATGTGTAGATTTTTTTAACTACAAGTAAAGTGCTTTTGCTTATGGGACCCTTTACATTTTATAATGATGGCTTAACACCTAATTTTACATGTTGCATGTGCAAAATTATTCCCATAATAATAATGATTATTTGAAATGATTTAGCTATATGTTTCATTGTGCATTTGATAGAAACAATTTACTATTCATAAGATAGTATTCATAAGCAAAAATTGAGAAGTAAATTTAGTGAAAAGAAGAACTTTGCAAGTGACCATATAGGCTGATCATATAGCCTTTTCTATTTTTTTTATCCCCTAATTGACATGCATGAGATAGGCCTAATGTGTTAACTGTGTTTTTCATTTAGGCATGATTTATCTGATGATAAGAAGTCATTCTCTATAGCTTATTTTGTACTGAGTCATATAACGGCAATTTTATGGACATAATGTGTATTTTTAAATGGTTGCCAGTAATAATTTCATGAATATATTGTATTCAAATTATTAATAGGAATCATCAGTTCAATTTTAAAACTTTATGACATTAACTATGTTTATCTCATCAAAGAGCTGTCATGATAATCATTTATGATATATCAATAAAACTAATTATTCATTCATTCATTTTCTTTTCAGCTTAGTCCCTTTATTAATCTGGGGTCACCACAATGTAATGAACCACTAACTTGTCCAGCATATGTTTTACACAGTGGATGACTTTCCAGCCGCAACCCATCACTGGGAAACATCTATTCACAGTCATACACACACATAAGCTCCATCCCAAATGGCACACTATACAGTAATGCACTATGTACTTAAGCACTTACACACTCAACAGCATAGTACATGCAAGTAGTATCGTTCCAAAAACACAAATGTTTTTTTACTAAGCTGAAATTCAACCTTTTTCCCGATTGATGTTTGCTGGTTGTCAAATTAGTGAAATAAATGACCAAACTACCCAATAATACCTCCCATGAGTTTAACCACATTTACCATCGGGAGGCACTATAATCACGCTCATAGGAGACTTTTGCTTTTACAATCCAAAATAAATAAAGTTATCTAATGTGCACCTGAAAGCTCCCGCTATGTGAGCAAAACTGCGGTAGTTGAGTGCATAAAGTGTCTATCATTCCATACTTCATTTTACTGGTTGAATGAGTGCATAGAAAATAAAGAAAAATAAAATAAGGCTGGCTGAATATGACAAGACGTAACAAGGACATTTAACAGCTAAAACTGCACTTAAAATCTTTAGGTGTAAAAAAGTGAACATAAGTAAGTAAAGAAAGTAAGTAAAACAAATTAAGATATTTTAAATGAAATCTGAGTTTTTGATTTGTTTAAAGTCTAGGAAATACCTAAAAACATCCTCACACCAATTTATATTCAGCATTCGTTTAGTTGTTTAAGTGTAAAACAAGGTAAAAGACCGTTGTAACCACTAGCGCTGTCAGTAGCAACAGGTTAGCGCAGAAATTCCATTGAAAATACTGGGGTAAAATAAACAGTTATATTTTAAAGACATGGCAGGGGAAATGTGGTGTTTAATGTGGTGATTCTTGTCTGATCTGAGACCCACTTCATGTCGCATATCTAAAAGGCAGTGAAGATCGTCGATTTTTAAAGAAAGACAGGTTCACGTGAAGGGGTGTCCCAATTATCTTTAGCTTGAAGGCATAAGGCTAAGGGGAAGAGCTAGATACCACTTGAAGCTGATATTTTTCAGGACCACACTCAAAACTGAGGGGTACACAAATGTCACCATCTACAATGGCACCATGTTTGCACACTGAAGGAGATGCACAAATTAGTATTTTTTGTCATTATGAATTTTTACAACAGACAAGCATTTGTTTTAATACATTCATAACCTCGTTTTGCCATCATGCTTCAACCCTCTACTGCACGCTGTCACCATATGGCAACATGATACTGTGCAATAGTGGAATGTGCAATATTGCAATGGGTTAGCTAGCTAGCAAGGTCAGCTGTGAACTTTAAGTTGTAACAATAACAACATGAAAGCTAGTAATATAATGTTGATTACTTGTATGTTAATGACATTTGTATTATGGATAAAATCTAGTTTTAATGGCAATACTACTTTTGAATAGATACAGGGAACAGTGTATTAGTGAGCACCACCATGTTCTAGGGTAAGTGAAAAAAGAAAAGGACAGAACTGGCTCTTCATGCAGATGAAAGTGAGGGTGAGATGGGTTTTAGTAACCATGAGAATGATGCAAACAGGAAATTTGATAGAGACAGTTCAGGTAAGTTAGCTCAGAGGCAGATAAGACAGGCGTAGTATAGTATATAGTATAATATATAAACATTTTTAGCTAGTAGCGGATCTGGATATATCAAACTTGTTATTTATTTGTTATAATATTTACTGGAGAAAATATTTATAATTACTATATGTTGTATACATAATAATACAATATTATGCTTGTTTTTAATAATATTCAGCAAAAAAGAAAGGAATAAATGAAAGCTGTTGGAATACGAGTTGTTGAAAAGTATGTATAAGGTGTCATTCATAAGTTCTGTGTTAAAGCTTATAATACTGCAACACCAATTAAATCATTTCAAACAGCAAAATTATTAATTATAAGGAAAGTTTTAAATTAGAAATTTCTAAGTTGGATCCACTTTTGGACGTTGTTGCCATATGGCAACATTTCATAAAGTACCTTAAAAAAATGAAAATTTACACTTCAAGTTAAGCCAGTTTAAGAAAAGAAAAACAGTCTTTTTTTAAATAGATTTTTCATAATGCGTGCAGTAGAAAAAATGCTAAAATAAAAAACGCTAATATTCACAATCTATTATTCATAATAACTCTTGTATAGGTGTCCCACAACATTCTGTCACACGATAACACTCAAATACCCTGTCAGAAAAGTCTAGTGTCTGGAAATGAGCTTTTTACAGTGTAAAATGGTATACTGTTAATGTAGTTTTCTTGCATTTACATATTTATGGCCAGGGTGTGAATACACAGTACAGTTACAATCTTATTGCCACATTATATTGATAACGTGATATTGTTGCCTTTAGTGATTTCTTGAAGATAAATTCCCAAAAATATTGCAACTGGAATAACTACAGCTGTCTTGATCGTCGATCTCATATGAAGCAAGAGATTGTGATGACATGATGACGTGTATAGGTGTTGTAGTGGTGTCCCATTTCTTAGGGGTACATTTTAAAGCCCTTCCCCTTCACACTCTGTTTCAATGGCCAAGGGGAAGGGGTAGATATTGAATTTTGAACACCTGACATCACAATCTAAATCTAACCTAACATTAACGTCTTATGATTTTGTTTGCCTGCTAGGTAATAACTAGATGCATGTTAGATGCAGAATGTTAAGTTTAAACACACACACACATACACAAATTACATGTAAATGCATCAGCTTTTTACAGCGTAATACTCACTACTCTTGAGTACTTTTAAAAAGGACTTCTTTTTACTCATACTATGAGTAATATTTACAACAGATACTTTTACTCTACTTGCACTACACTTTTAGGCAAGTAATGGTATTTTTACCGGAGTATGATTTTTCAGTACTCTTTCCACCACTGGCTATCTGCCTAGACGGTGCCCCTATGAAAGGCAACATCCAAGAAAACTCTGTGAGTATCCTGTTCATTTCGTGGCTGATGGTGGACATCTGCCACCTCCTGAACAGGAGTGGACATCCCCCAACAAACAAGCTTATCGAGAAGTCTAACCAAACCCTGAATACTAAAACCTTTTTCATGATTGGTTGCACCTGTGTTAGGATTGATTAATTTTATTTAAAAGTCACTCAAATCAATGTTGTGTTGTAATCAATCAGCATTAAGTGACTACAGGGTTTGAAATCCACACAAACTTTTGTGCAGCCTATTTTTCAGTTTCAATTTAATTTCACACATCTCAGAAGTGCAACACTACCTATTTTTGTCTGAAAAACATGACATAATCTAGCGTTCTATAGAATCCAAATGGCATATCACTGTGATCGTCTTTTATAAAGAAAGATCACATAATGATGCCACAGAGGGGTGGCCAAACTTTGCATAAAGCTGCGGTCACACCAGAGTTTGAGTTTGCGAAATTCTGTGGTATGGCTCTGCGAAAAGGGGCGGGAATAAACCAGATGATTAGACATTTAAAAAGTGAGCGATTCCTCCACATTTTAAATTTCTGTCCAGAGAGGTCATGTTTTGGTTCTTTTATTGGTCTCACAGTGTAGTGATGCGATTTCGCAGGTCAGAGTTCACCAAGCTTGAACTTTGCACCGCAACAACCTGCGAAACTTGACGCATGACCCTGCGTGTCCGGTCTGACGCATTCGCGTGCGTATGAATGGAAGTCTATGGGAGGAAAAGCCCAGTATGACCGCAGCTTTAGACTGCACTTGGGCTGACATGGTGCAACATTACAACAAATAGAAAGATAGTGTGACTAAATGGTCAATCTAACTGTATTCTGACCACCACTGCTGACAAACACAATTTACAGATAATTTGTAATGGAAAAGTGAATCTAAAGAATGCTGTTTTAGACAAGAGTAAATTGACTGCAAGGTTAATAACTACCATACTGCTGCTAAAACGTCAAGATCTCATTGATAAAAAAAAATTGTCTAAAATACTTAGTTTACTTTGACTACAACTAGACTTTAATACACAAGATTTTTAGTTGACTTAATCTTGACTAAAGAAAATGGGATAAAAGCTGACTAAATATGATATAAGGTAACAAGGACATTTAACATGGGACTATTCAAATTGAGTTGAAAATACATGACAAAATTAACACTAGCACTAGTTCACACATTGCTGAACACAGATCTACCTGTCAGCATGCTCAGCCTTAAATGAAGCCTGAACGAGGCACTGGGAAGTTGAAGTGTTTGTTCATCCAAAAAATGAAAACTATGTTATTAATTACCCTTGTGTTGTTCCAAATCCCTGAGACCTTTGTCTTTGCAACCCAAATTAATATATTTCACAAACTGAGAGCTCCCGCATTTTCCAGACAGAAAGGTTCCTGACTAAAAAAAATGTAAAGAAAATTAACAACAAAAGGTACAAGAATCATTTTGTGCAAATATACAAACAAAAATAAAATGATGACTTTATTCAACAGCTTTTTCTACCCAGTGTCATTACAGTGCACACATTTATTGTTTATTGACTATACGAACAGAGAAAAAACTTTTGAATAAGCACTTTTGTTTCATATACAGATAAAGGAAATATCATAGCTTGATATTATATTTAATTAAGGGAACTAACCCTTGAAATGCTTTGATTCCATGTTTGATGAACACTTTGCACTTCGCCAATTTATGTTGTTTTGATATTTAATTATAGTTTTGCAAAAAGACACTACATTTTTTTTGCGCTTACTAACTCTGGAGTAAATGTCATACATTAAACCGAGAAAATATGCATAGGGCTATCATTATACTTATTGAAATATTGCTCTGATTGGCCAGGTAACAGAGGTGTGGCATTGTTGGATAAAGGAGACAGAGACTGGTTAAAGAGACTGACACCTGTATTCAGTACATAAAGGGTTTGGGTAAGTTAAAAACTGGGCAATCTTCC